TAACTCTAGAATTTTTAAAAGAAGACTTCCTTAGGAAGAGACCTTGGCCACAAGTTGGAGGCATGGTCTCCAGGCCCAGCTCTGCCACCCTCGAGGGCTTTGCTGAGGTCCTCACCCTCAACCAGCCTACACGACGAAGGGTTTAGGCTGGGTCATCTACAGCTCAAACACTCTGTGTCTCTGTGTAGTAGACTGTTGCTTCTTTGTCCTCAATGAACTTCAAGCACCTAGAGAGACAGTCTCCAGGGCTGTTCCAAGAGGGCAGACTTGGTTCACTGGCATCTGTCAAAAGCACACCTTGCATAGGTCAGCAACGGGCAACCCGAGAGATGCCCAGGACACATCTTAGGTCAGACACCATTGCTCGCTCTCTTTCCTGAGAGCCTGAGTGCATGTTTGTGAGTGTGAGTGTGTGTGTGTGTGTGTGTGTGTGTGTGTGTGTGTGTCAGGAGAGAGGTAGAGGAGGAGGAGGGAGGGTATGTGGCATTTGGGTTTAAAAAATTACCCAAATAATTCTGATGCCCAGTTCCAGCGAAGAACCAACATCCTTGATGCAAATATCTGTCTTTCCTGGGTCACTTCTAGTCATTCCCCTCGAAGCGTGGAATTGCAGGCCAGCCCAGCCAAAGAGCACACAACGCAGAGTGCAGGCTCCGGACTCTGCCTGCCCGGGTTCAGATCCTGGCTCTGCCACTCACCAGCTCCAAGACCGTGGGCAAACTGCTCAGCTCCTTAAAAACAGCAACGGCCACTGCTCTTGTTGTTCTTATTTGCACGGTTTCTTTTCCACCCTGCCAGCATGCACACTCTCTCCTTGGGGAGAAGTGGCAGGTGCAGCAAGGCTCTGGAAACGGCAGCGCCTGTGTCCTGCCACGCTCCTCCTTCTCCTCTTCCCATCCAACTCTGAGACAGAAAAGCAGCCAAGGTACACAAAAAAGAGCCACCTGGTCACCTTTGGTCAGAAGACAGCCAGCATAGTCGGACAGGATGCAAACTTAGTGAAACTGGCTCGTGAGGAGTGAAGTGGTAACTGGAGACGCTCAAAGAAGAAAGGACCTCAGATGTCCTACCTCCAACCCCACAAAGGAGGACCTTCCAAACTAGTTCATTCTTTTTCAAACCAATGTGATTATTTCACACGACGTCAAAGTCTCCCAGCCTGCAGGTGCCACAGAGCCCTTGATGCTACTAGGTATAACCATTCAGCAGACAAACAGATCTCATTTCACACTTTGCTAACCACCCTTTAAATATTTTAACATAATCTACATTCCACCACCCCTATGCCTTAAAAACAAAAATAAAAAGAGAAACTTGTCTTTTCTCCAAGCTAAATATCTCAGGTCCTTCCACTATTTTCATTGTGACGTTCTGGTCCACTGAGTCCTGTCCTCCAGACTCAGTGGAATTTTCCAAGATCCCTCCACAGCATGGGAAGTGAATACGATGTGCACACCGCAAGATTCTGACTCAGTCGACTCAGATGTACCTATCTTTCCTAGGATTTAGTAAAAGGAATATTAACTTTAATAAAAAAAGTCACACCCTCCCAGCCACACCAATGTCTGCTCAGAAATCATGGAAAAGGGTCATCTGGAATCCGGGATATAATTCTACTCAGTCCCTGACTCCAGTAGGGTTGGGTGATCCCAAGACTCTACTTCTCACCTCAGGAATGAATAATGGAAAAGCACTAAGTAGCAGTGAGCGACATGCTATTGGAACAGGTGTGCTTTTCACCTTCCCGGGCCAGTTTGAGGTCAGCTCAGCCAAAAGCAGGAGGCTGAAACCCTTCTAGGTTTCAAAGGCTGTGACTTCTCATGCCGCCATGCCAGCCAAAGAAATATGGCTCCAGGATTTTCTTCCGAAGGTGCCATCTCCAAAGTACTCCAAGGCTACCTCAGATGTGCACCAGGCAGGGAGTCGGCGGCAAGGAGGACGGCACCCTTCTGCATTGCAGCACACGATGACTCACAAAGCCGCCTTGTCATCTGGCGGAACGCTGGCCCAGAAAGAAAGTCTGACCCGCCTAGGAGTACAGCTTGGTCCCGCACACACCTGTTACACAACCACACACATGCCAAGTGTTCACATGGATTTAACAAGGATTTAAACACACACACGCCTACACACGTTCCAGCTTCTCAGTGCCACCTCTTTAGGCACTAAACTTCCTCTAGCTTGCCAGAAATCCTCAAAATTAGCTAGGAGGAACATGGGGTAAACTGCTACCTGGCAAACCTGACTTCCCAGCCAGGATACTCCTTCCTCAGCTGCAGTTGTTTTTAAAGTGTTTACACTTCCACTGACATTTTCTAGAGGGAAGCTGAAAATCCTTGGGCAGCATTCCCTGATCTGGTCTGACTCTAGTCTCCAGGTTCATGTCCCTTATTGCCCTCCCTACACCACATGCCGTGGCCAGGTTGAGGCCCCTTCGCCCAGACGGAGCTCCCACCTCACCCCATCCCCAGGGCACCTGGTAAGTTCTCCCTGACCACCCTGCCCAGCGGCACTTTCTCCTCCGCTCCAGACTGCAACTGGCTCTGCTACTGCGTTTGTCCTTTCCCTCGTCTTCTCTGGCTGTTTGAAGGCATTTACTATTCTCTGCTTTACACCATAGGTAATATACACATGGCTCTTCTTTCTCCTCCTCTGGACAGGCTCCTGTAAGGCAGCAACCCTGTTTCCTCTTTGGATCCCCCAGCATCCGGCCCAGAGCCTTGCGGAGCAGATAAGCAGGTATTTGGTGACTTCGTGAAAACACCCTCCCAGAGGACATGGGGCTGCAGCAGCGGCCTGGCGTGGGGTCGTGCTGGGACCCACAGACCTCCGGCTAGATCCCTCAGGTAGCCACAGAGGTGCAGGGCTCAACAGGCAGCCCTGAGCGCCTGCATGGTTCCCACCAGGTCCAGAAGCGAAAGACACCCAA